TACATATTTGGTATAATTTTTCTTGCATGTTTTCATAAGTTTTTTTTTTTGTTTATGTTGCCTATTGCAAATTGAGCTAATTATGTATCATCAGAAGACAACTCTAACCTTGTTTTTTAAATTAATGTCCAAATAGAAGGATGATTGTGGCCTACTAATTTTGAAAAACGATGGATCCACCCATCTGTTTGGTTATTGGTTCGATGTCCATTCTCAAGGGTAGTTTTATGGATATTCCATATTGATGGTGAATAGAGTGGTKGGATATTTCGTAGTCTGATACCATTATTCGAATTACACTGAACGCTTCTATAAGACCCGTGGACATACGTGGTGTCAAAATAATCTATGGCCTCCGATGGCATAATTGTTCTAAAAAATCGATTCCCTTTAATACTTTATCTTCTGGTAAAAATGCTAGACTATCTAGTTTTCTACAAAATACACTAATATTATTATTAGTTCGATACATATTTTCAAGTCCAAGACTCTGAATTTTTCTTTGTGTGTTATAGGTAAGTTGATAAAAGCACCCTTTAACACAGATATGATTTCCAATTATATTTATATTGTTTTAGCACAAAAATAAATCCATGTCTTTTTTTATCACATGTATTTTTTATCCCCTAGCTTTTTTATCCGATTACGGTATATTGCAAGGGTGGCTAGCGATAAGAGAGTCGACCCATACAATTAATAAAAAGTAATATGAATAAGTGAGAAAAGGAATAATACTTATTATTGTATTAGTAAAAATTTTAAGACGAAAATCGTGGGTTAACTATCCTTAGTATTGCTGCTAGTGTAATTTCCGTGGTCCATCGGACTAACCATTATTCTTTTTAGAGTCGTTTGTATAACAACCATGAATTCGATCATACAGAATTGTTAACGTTAATAACATTCAACTAAATGAAAATATTCAGGATAATAACACCAMATAAATTGAACACAACACTTTATTACCGATGAAAAGTTAAGACCGATAACGTCGATTGTATAAAACAGTATTTTATACCTAAGGATAACCCGTTTACTTCATTTGTCACTCTAATTTTGTGTTAAAAAAATGTCGTATTTATGATTTTAAATAATCGAAAAACATTGAAAAATACATGGTGTATTGAAACAATTAAGTTAATAAATAAAAATAAATAAAATAGGAATTTGAGGTATCTGTTCTAACTTTTAATTTAACGTTTATTTACATTTTTAATCACATTATATATCTACTGATAGTTATTGTGAAGCATTATTTAATATCATTATTAAAATTAGAAGTTCTATAAAATACTATAGAATACTGAAATAATTTATTTTTATAACTACATTTAATTTTCTACTACCAATATCATTGTTATTTATTATTTAAAATACCACAGTCTGTAACTAGGTATTTAATTTTAAAATAATTTCAAGTTATAAACTAGGTAGGTATAAGTTTTATGTTAACAGAAGTATTGTTTATAGAAACCATTTTTTAATGATGAAACTCCACAATATGGTATTATAATTTAAACAAGAATTTCGGTGAATTATAAGATTTAGATAAAGGAGACATTCGACTAAATCATTTATCAAATATAATCTATTCAATAATGCATTTTCCATTAATTAAGTTTTTAAATGTTTTTCAATTCCAATTTAAATCACACAGATATCTTAACATATTTTACATTACTTAAAATATAAATTTTAAAAATTAAAAATATTTTCTGTAATATATTAAATTTGATTTTTTGTAAAACAACATTTATCAAGAAAATTGTTCAAAACTTTTTATTTTATTGAAAACAAAAATAATCGTGCCCTTTGGTCAATATTATACATATTTTCTAGTTGAATATTTCACCTGTCGTACAATAAAATTATGATTTTTCACTCAAAATACTACTAACTGAGTTATTTAAGTTATTATTTAAAGACCACATTGTTTTCTGTAATTTTTAAGCCACGTTTTTTCCATAATTCTGTCTTCTATTCTTTATTTAACGTAATCCAATTCTAACTGAGTGAGTAACCTAAATATTTGGGATGAATGAATAATATAAGGATTAGTGTAAAACATACCAAATATGGGGCAAGGGTTCATTATAAAGTATTTTCGGCCGTGGAAGAGTTTAAAATTAAGCGGTCAATAAATAGCGTATTATAAAAAGGGCAACCTTTTAAGCTATAAACTGCATTAATGGTTTATAAATTATAGCACCACTTTCTGTTAAATATAATTAACTTACTTTTAGTCAATACCTAGCTAATATTATATCTAATATTACTCTACAAAAAAGTAAGTAACTGCTTGTTAGTTTCAGTAATTTTGTTGGTTTATAAGACACTTGTAACTCATTAATAATTAGAAAATAAAATATTTAACTAGTGTCAAGGACTGAAATTATCATATATAATATATTTAATTTTGAATAAGTTGATGAATTTCAACAAATTCGTATTAAGGTCAAATATACATATATATATATATGTGTACTATAATATACCTAGTAATTATCTACCTATCACGATTTTTTATTTTAGTATTATTACTAATATAATATGTATGGCGTAAATATGAATGCAATATCGAATTGAATAATATCTTAACAGTGGAAATAAATACATTTATTAGCATTTATTTCCTATTTGTATGGCACAAAAATCAATGTTGCGTAAATGGATTGCTTGAGAATACAATGTATTAGAACATTATTATATATTTGTATAAAGATAGGTATATTCAACCTTACTCAGAGTCATAATTTTTCAGTATCTATTTATGTATTATATAGATAAAATGTATTCAAACATAAATTATGTTAATTTTATATTTAAATGTGTTCATGCGTGGGTGTATATTTGTGTGTAAGTGTTGCCTAAATCATAATTTGTTCAGTGTATTAATGATAAAAATGTTTGTTTGTATTGATACGTGTCTTAGTGTTACATGAGTAGGGTAGTGAATTTAATGCAATAGAGAAACCGTAATATACATATKCATGTGCTTATTCGCCAATGCACCGGGAAATGTGAATTACGATTTTAGATCATACACTAAAATCACATGACATGACGTATTTGGTTGGTTAAGTCATAGAGATTTAGTTGAAGAACTACAACTACCTATATTATGTGATAAGTACCCAATTACTTTATCTATATTGTTAGTATATTTTTAAGTTCAAATTTTATTTGGTGTGATAATTTACATTTTATTTTTAGCTTTGAATATAACTTTCAAACTTTTTATACACTACCTCATAATGCCTTTATCCACTTGTTGTTACTTTTATAATTTATAGATAATTAAAAAACGTATTGATTATATTATTACATTTATGATAAGCAATTTATATGCCTGTCATTATCATTGCATTTTAAAATAACAATCGGACAGTTATGTCGGATTATATTTCATTTGCAATGGTAATTAATAAAGTACAGAAGTTCTATAAAAAATAATTTAAAAACGTTGGCAGGCTCGTGGTTTTGCAATGTTTTTTTATGTCGAAAAGTTAGTTTTTTAAATATATATAATCATTTAACTTACATTATTTGTGTTTTTACTACCTTCTTTCTTGTGTTTTTTTTTATCCTTATCACCACACCAACCACTAATTAATGACTACATTTTTGTTGAAAATTAAATAATAGTATTTAAACGAAAAAAAAAAAAATGCCACTGTGTCTACATCGGCACGTTATACATTTACGTAACTTATCATCGTGGAAAGGGAATTGCGATTCACTTATGTATAAAGAGAGAACTGAAAATGAGAAGAAAAAATTTTTAAATAATTGACAGAAGTATGGCGATGGCGCGGAAACACAAAAGTGCTCGCTGTGTACATTTGGTACTCGTTGCCGTCTTTACTGTCGCTTGTCACCAAAACAAGATTTACTGGTAAATGAACGATAAAGTCATTAGAGATGTTCTTTGTTGTTTGCTGAATAAATCAGCTATGAAAAAAAAATAATAATAATAATAATAATGGCAATAAACGGCCACGGTACTAAAGGTAGCGTAAAAATCGGACGTTTATACGAAGTGAAATCATTTACAGATGTTTCTGCCTTTTCATTTGCATATATTATAATATATATATATATATAAATTAGGTTTTATATATAATTTTGTTATATTCGTTTTTTGATAACCGAATAACCAAGGGACGTAATATTTTAATTTTTACCCCGACGTTTGCAAATGTCGCAATTTGTCGTTTTATCACACACTGCAGAGATACAGTATTTTATTTTATTTATATTATGTAGAAGGTGTCATAAGATAGTTTATTATGATATAGTATAGTTTAGTTTATATAATTCCAAAATCATTATTCCATTTACTCAATACCCGTTCCCACATTATAATTTTCAATTTCTATCACCTAAATGTGTTTTGGGGTGACGAGTTCACTGCCAAAATAATTTTGGTATTAGATAGTKAAGCTTTGACGGGGATCACCGGCCAGTTTTCGTAATTAGTAGACTAGCAGTTATTAAGATATAAAATGTCGATCGAAGATAATAATATAATGATATGAAATAATAATATCTATGTAATTCAATGGTTCACACGGCGATAGCGCTGATAGCACTACTGAAATAATATATTTGATTGTATGGAGATAAATTAATCATATGAATATAAATTAAAACATTAGTTTATAAATATTTTGAACAAAGACATTTTTGCCATAAGATATTTTGACCGGTCACTTAATGGTGAGTCAAAGAAATGTGATTTTATTGGTTATAAAATACTACTTTTACGAGAGCTAAAAAAACAAATTGGAAATAAGATACCTCATCGTCTACACTACTAAAGATTGACTYGAACGGAATAACGATATATACCTCTTGTCATGATGAAATATTTGAACGTGTTTAACGAAAATGATTTGTCAGGTCTACCGTAAATTTGAACCGTAGTCTGTTTGTCTGTTTCAATACGGAAATAACATTTTGCTGTGGATTTAGAAATCAATCGTGTTCTCTTTGTTTAGGATCTCCATTCTGGTGTTTGCTGGACATTGTGCCGATCAAAAATGAAAAACGAGAAGTGGTGTTGTTCCTGGCTTCACATAAAGACATCACGCACACGAAAATGGCAGAAATGCACGTGGGCATGGACTACGATCCAGGTAATACTAGTCGTAGTACAATATTTAAATATATAAGATATCCTGTGGGATTTAAGCTATAGTAGGTATTCTACTATTGATATAGATGTATATTATGAAGGGATATCCATTGAAAGCTCCGGTCGAGTTAACGGCTTAAAACAGCTATGCAAATATTTATTTCCCGCGTACATTTGGTTGGGAATTTTATTTTCTTGGAAGTCCAAAAATACGTATGGATATAATATAAAGAACTGTGACATTTAAAGTGTTTCAAGCAATACAGTTATTAAAATGTTAGGTAACTTATTCATATTTGGCTGAAATTTTTTCGTTGGAATTTATTTGACACGAGTAATGATCAATATTAATTTGTAAATTACAATGCATAATCAGTAGTTTCTTGGCATACTTATAAAATACACAATATGAACGTGATATATTTAAAATCGATGAATTTAAAACAATTTCAAAGTAAATTACTATTAATTACTTTCATTATGCATATTACAATATTTGTACCATATACATTTCAATTTATTATATCGTATGTTGCTTAAAATAATATGAATCATAATTTTATACTAGTTTCATCCTGTGTTCAATAAAATTAATTATAGGGTTTTTTGAGAACTATTATTCATTTTATTTAAGTAACAACAATACTCAAAATCTTATTTAGATAAAGTTTGATTAAAAATAAGATAATATCATGGATATAGAAAATTCGAAACACAAATTGATAACTAAATAGTAGGTAATATAACAAAAAAACGTCATGGAAAGTATTGAGGTCAGATTAAAGTTGGGAAGTTTATTATGAKATACAGTTTAATATTATCGGCAAATAATAAGACTTTAGCAAACAAATAAACAATATACAATTCAATAACAAGAGAACAAATAAGATGAAGAGAATAGGGCTAAGAAGGCTAGTAGGTTACATAATAAGATAGTATGATAATGGTTTATTGGAGAGGATATCGTTGATAGAGAAATTCGTATACGTGTGGTAAAGTATGATGCAAGCCAAGAGAGAATAGGATCACTATTGTCAAGATTATCTTGGGACTTGGGTATTTATTAGAAGACAGTGGTCAGTCAACCGTATTGAATACTTTTTAAAGTTAGTAAATATATAGCATTAATTTGGAAATCAACTTCGAGGTTATCAATTACTTATGATGAAAGATTTTCGGGCTAAAAGCCAAGTAGACTACTATAACCTAATATAATTATGAAAAGGTCAATACTGCTCTCGGTACATGAGTTAAGGCCGTTAAGGGTTTYTAAAAGGTTGAGCAATAAATTAAAGAACATAGATGAATCTATTCTTTGAAAAAGTCCATTGGGTCACAAGATTTAAGTATATATGTGATCTAAAAAATTTTCCACGCGACGGAGTAGGTTCTTAGGTATTAAGAAAGTTAAATGAGGAGAAAGAGAGGATTAGACAACAACATACAGTAAAAGTAATTTGAATGGGCAGAAATGTTATCTGGTTCGATAGAATAGTTGTTTTGTTAATATATCTAGACAGGAGAGGAAATTAATAGATTAGTGTTTGTCATGTTTTACATTAACGTGTTTGTCGTCTTTGAAAAGGAGTTGGTGACAAAGGTGGGTTTAAAACTGGGGAAAATAATTTAAATAGATCGTTTGGAGAGCAATCTACTGTCTCGTTGAAATGTTAACGGCGCTAATATTTATACATTTAACACATTTATTTTAATCATTGACTTCCATTAATAAATTAGTAATCATAATTATTTCATTCGTTTGAAGCAATAATACCATATTACATTCAGATTAAACATTCAGTTTGTATTAGTAAAATATTTAGATTGTATTGTTACTAGATACTGTGCCAATTATCTTAACGAYACGATGAGTTTGTAATATTTGAACTCTWGTACAATATACTAGTACAACGGTTCTCAAACTTGTTTTTTCGCCTACCACTTAAGTATATTATCAATCAGTCGCATACCACTGATGATTAAAAATATCGACAATATCAACGATTATACCTATACGATATCTTATTTATTSACGTATTTTCCGTGAAATCAAACCTTTATTATCTGAATATTAAAAAAAAACACATGGCATTGTAAAATCATCGTTACGCTAAGAATCTTATATTTGTTTTTAATTTTCCATCCTATCATCACCATGCGGCCTTTCACGTACCACCATGGAGTCTTTCGCGTACCACTAGTGGTACGCGTACCACAGTTTGACAACCGCTGTACTAGTAAATAGTGCATTTGCAAAAATGTTTTAGGTTGAAAATATATTATTATTGTTGTAAATAGACAATTTTTAGTCTTATTTAATTCTTGTTTGGAGAAAATACCAATATTTAATAGATGTTAACATTAAATTTTAACGAATTATAAATTCGATTAACTGATAACTTAAAATCTCAGAACATATACATACAAAAATGGATTATAAATTATAATTATTCAATCCGTTTAAAAACAATTGTCAACCCAATTAAAATGTTTATGTATAAATCGTATAATATATAATATACATAATTGTATAATTTCATATGATCACTCAATGATAAAACTGAATTACGTGGGTGAAAATGAGTTTTATATTAGTCTTTATATTTTGATAAAGTATTTTACTGTGCGTAGGTACCAGTTTGTTAGATACTTAGTTTTATRTATGTTTTATTATTCTGTTGGTAATAGTTGTTGTTGAATTTTTAATGAGCTGTCTYGCAAGATTGATAAATCCATTTTTATTTGGCGCTGACGGACAGCTCCAAAATATACACCAGTTATCAAGTCATGCGTAAGTTTTATAGATTTACTCGTGAAATGAGTGAAATCCATTTTAAATATATTCCGAACCATATCAATATTTTTTTGCTGGAAATTATAGCTAGAGATAAATTACATTGAAAWGTCCAAGAATCAACGTTTAATGATTATGTATAAACATCAAGGAGTTGGGACTTATTTTAGGATTGAGAACACTTTTGTTTTTCTCTTTTGAATAGTAATYATACAATTTGGAAGAGAGTAGAAAAAAAATCATAATTCACGAAATGTATCGGAAGTATGGAATATATTTAAAAGAAAAAAAGTGTTATGACAATAATAGAATTATTATATGAAATTCACTACGTTGTATAAATGTTATGATAATAATTATTAGTGTAACACGGCTTATGATGATTAGTAACTATCATAGTTCAAAGATCTTTGTAAATKTTTCAATTTAAAGAAGATAATTTGAATTGGATTAGTTTTGTTTCATAAAGCCAAAGTTCTATAATCATACTATAACGTATAATTATTTGTGTTTTTAGCTTTGGACCTGTTAAATGATTTATTTTTATTTTTGTTTCTGAATTGTTGATATTATAAATTGCTTATCTTAATTTCACAATGATAATAATCTTAACGTAAACGTAATGGCATTTTTATCAAATAAAAATAAAAATAAAAACAAAAATAATGCTTATACTCGTGTTGGTTTCGTGCCACTAGGTAGAGTGTCAGTTTCTGTAGTAATTTAAAATATGAAAAACAATGATAAATCGTCACATGCAGAGCRAAATTTTGATCCTAAGCTGGATTAGTACCAAGTCCTTGTTAAAATGTCTTTATACATTCGACAGTTTCTTTGCTAAGTATTTATCGAACTTAGAAAATCAAAAAATGACTTTTTGAAATTACCACAAGACTCGATACTCTTATCTGCGTAGGACTACTTAAATCTTTTGGATTACACTACTGTAAAAAGTTATATTAAATGAATTTTTATACATTTATAATTAATTAAAAAATATTAAAATATATGCTTTTAAATTAAACTCAATAAAAAAAAA